AAAAAAAAAATACAAAAATTAGCTGGGTGGTGTGTGTCTGTAATCCCAGCTACTCAGGAGGGTTAGGTACCAGAATCCCTTGAACCCAGGAGGTGGAGGCTGCAGTGAGCCGAGATCGCACCATTGCACTCCAGCTTGGGCAACGGTGAGACTCTGTCTCGAAAAAAAAAAAAGGGGGACAAATGGCTGGGCATGGTGGCTCATGCCTCTAATCCAGCACTTTGGGAGGCCGAGGCGAGCGGATTACTTGGGCCAGGAATTCGAGACCAGCCCAGGCATTGTATGGTGACACAGTTTCTATTCAAAAATATATATATGTACTTTTTAAAAAGTGGGATGAGTCACTCCGGAGGCCGTATCTGGGACTCACTCACACAAGACTGGGCACTTTGAACCCACAGGGCTTACAAAGAGGTACTACTAGCAACGCAAGCTGCTGCTAATGTCCTACGGGAGCATGTTGCGTTTTCGCAACAGTGAGCACAAGCAGGGCATATGAAAGCATTTTTGGAAACCCTGAGTGGACAGTAAGAGCTATGGCTTTTCAGTGAAGTCTAGTTCCAACTGCCAACATCAACCCGTGGCAGAGGAGCCAGAAGCCGCTCTTCAGATGCAAAAGAGCCCAGATAAACCCCAGATACCTCATGCTACCCTTTGAGGGAAGATTGCTACGCCCCCATTCTCACACACACTCAAGTCTTGTTTTTGCCAATTCTCGTGTCCTAGTTAAGCAACACAGATGCTTTCTTTCCAAATGCCCAGCGGGGGACAGACCAGCCAGAACCCCAATCTGTGGGAGCCAGACGCATCCCAAGGTAACATTCCTGCTCCCAGCACGTGTGTGTTCATAAGTGTGTTTATTAAATTATAATGCCAATAAAAAACAAAAAGAAGGGCCATTCCTAAAAACTCTCTCTCCAATGTTCACGGACTGTGAGTGCCTTTCGTTTTCAGAACCCTGGTCCTCGGCTCGAAGCCTCCCACAGCTCTGGGTCCCGGGACAGGGTGGAGAGAGCCCCCTGCCATCTCCCTGACCCATCTCCCCCAGCTGGCCCACTCCAGCCACAGAAGCCTTCTCCGTGCTTCCCGAACACTCCCAGGGAGCCCAGCCTCAGGCGTCTGTCCTCACCACTGCCGTGAGTGGAGCTCCCTCTGCCTCCGATCGTCTGTGTGTCACTCACGCCACCTCCTAGGAGGGGCCTCGCGGCATTTCTCCCAGCACATCTGACATGCTCTTATCTGCTGGTTGCTGTATGCCTCCCTGTGAGCCCATCTGTCTCGGTCACTGCTATGTCCCCAGGGGACAGCCCAGGGCCAGGCACACAGCAGAGCTCAGGACCTGCGTACTGAGTGACTGAACTCTCAAGTTATAGACACCAAAGGACAAGAGGAAAGAGAAAGGTTTCTTAATAAGCGAGAAGCAGCATTTCCTAGTGCAGCTGAAAGACGGTCCTTGCGGCTGAGAGTGGCAGCGGGGACAGGTGGTCCCAGGAGCTACCTGTGGCCCTGGGCACTGGCATTCATATGGTCCCGGATGCTGATGGCCTGTTTGAGCAGACCCTCCACGCTGCGGAAGTAGACGCTGCTGTCCACCAGGTTCTTCACGGCGCTGAAACGGAAGGACAGGCCTGATCAGCGCCCCAAACCTGCAGGTAAGGGTTCCACACCCCAGCACTAGAGGTCACCACCAGAGCTTGGTGGGTGCTTCGGTGATGCTGCGGGCTTCCCTGAGGACTCACGGTGGGCTTACGTTTTAGATTTCCCTGCTATGACTAGACAGCAACTATGCAAAACAGCATATGATGGAAAGAAAACTTTGACTTCACTGCCACGGAAACATGTAACGTTTTGAAGGAGGTATCAGTGTATAAAGATGCCATAAAAAATATTTCCGCCATTACTCAGATATGAGGGTGTAAAACAAAAAAGAAAAGGCAGTATCTCTCCTGGGCACTGTGGTTCACACCTGTAATCCCAGCTACTCAAGAGGCCAAGGCAAGATGACAGCTTGAGCCCAGGAGGTTGAGACTAGCCTGGGCAACAGAGTGAGACCCCATCTCTCTCTTTCTCTCTCTCTCTCTTTTTTTTTTTTTTTTTTTTTTGAGACAATGTTTTGCTCTGTCACCCAGCCTGGAGTGCAGTGATGCGATCTCAGCTCATTACAACTTGCACCTCCCAGGTTCAAGCGATTCTCCTGCCTCAGCCTCCCAAGTAGCTGGGACTACAGGCATGTGCCACCACGCCTGACTCATTTTTTGTATTTTTAGTAGAGATGGGTTTTCACCGTGTTAGCCCGGCTGGTCTCAATCTCCTGACCTTGTGATCTGCCCACCTTGGCCTCCCAAAGTGCTGGGATTACAGGTGTCAGCCACCACGCCCCATGAACCCCAACTCTTAAAAAAAGAAAAATCTGGGGCCAGGCACGATGGCTCACGCCTGTAATCCCAGCACTTTGGGAGGTCGAGGCAGGCGGATCACCTGAGGTCAGGATTTTGAGACCAGCCTGACCAACATGGAGAAACCCTGTCTCTACTAAAAATACAAAATTAGCCAGGCATGGTGGTGCATGCCTGTAATCCCAGCCACTTGGGAGGCTAAGGCAGGAGAATCGCTTGAACCCAAGAGGTGGAGTTTACAGTGAGCCGAGACTGTGCCACTGCACTCCAGTTTGGGCAACAAGAGCGAATTCTGTCTCAAAAAAAAAAAAAAAAAAGAAAAACCTGGTTGGATGTGGTGACTCAAACCTGTAATCCCAACACTTTGGGAGGCCCAGGAGAGAGAATTATTTGAGCCGGGGAGTTTGAGACCAGCCTGGGCAACACAGTGGGATCCCATCTCTACAAAAATTTAAAAATTAGCCAGGCATGGTGACACTTGCCTGTGGTCCCAGCTTCGTAGGAGGCTAGGGTGGGAGGATCACCTGAGCCCAGGAGGTCGAGGCTACAGGGAGCTGTAACTGTACCACTGCACTCTAGCCTGGGTGACAGAGCAAGACCCTGTCTCAAAAAAAAAAAAAAACAAAAAAATAGGCCGACGCGGTGGCTCATGCCTGTAATCCTAGCACTTTGGGAGGCTGAAGCGGGTGGATCACGAGGTCAGACGTTTGAGACCAGCCTGGCCAACGTGGTAAAACCATGTCTCTACTAAAAATACAAAAAAATTAGCTGGGGCGTGGTGGGCACCTGTAAGACCAGCTACTCAGGAGTCTGAGGCAGGAGAATCACTTGAACCCAAGAGGCGGAGGTTGCAGTAAGCCGAGATCACGCCATTGCACTCCAGCCTGGGTGACAGAGCGAGACTATATCTCAAAAAAATTAAAAAATAAATAAGTAAATTAAATTTTTAAAAATACATTATTTCACTAAAGACAAATGCCCGCTGGCCTCCCGCCGAGCCCATTGATGTCTGGGGCAACTGGTGATGAAAATGTTCTTTATCCACTGAGTTGGCTGAGAGGCACTTGGAATGTAGCTAGTGAGACTTGCGAGTTGAGTATTTCATTTTTTTTCTTTTTTTTTTGAGATAGAGTCTCACTCTGTTGCCCAGGCTGGGCACAATCTTGGCTCACAGCAACCTCTGCCTCCCAGGTTCAAGTGATTCTCCTGCCACAGCCTCCTGAGCAGCTGGGATTTACAAGTGCCTGCCACCACGCCTGGGTAATTTTTGTATTTTTAGTAGAGATAGAGTTTCACCATGTTGGCCAGGCTGGTCTCAACTCCTGGCCACAAGTGATCTTCCCAGCTTAGCCTCCCAAAGTGCTGGGACTGCAGGTGAGTCACTTCGCCTGGCCGTTTTCATTTTAACGAGTTAAAACTTAAGTGTGCTTAGCCACCCATGGCCTAGGTTCCTGGATTAGATGGCACAGGTGCAGGAAGCAGAAGAAAGCACAGATTTTTTTTTTTTTTTTTTTTTTTTTTTATTTATTTTTTTTTTTTTTTGCCACTGACAATATCAGTCAGTCACAATCTATTTTATATTTTTTGAAACAGGATCTTGTTCTGTTGCCCAGGCTGGAGTGCAGTGGTACAATCTCTGCTCACTACAGCCTCAACCTCCCAGGCTTAAACGATCCTCCCACCTCAGCCTCCCAAATAGCTGGGACTAACTGTGTGTGCCATAAGGCTTAGCTAGTTTTTGCACTTTTTGTAAAAATAGGGTTTCACCAGGTTGTCCAGGCTGGTCCCAAACTCCTGGGCTCTAACGATCCATCCACCTTGGCCTCCCAAAGTGGTGGGAGTACAGGGGTGAGCCACCACACCCAGCCACATTTCATTTTTTGTTAGAGGAGAGGTCTTGCTATCACCCAGGCTGGCCCTCAACTCCTTTCTTGTTTTGTTCTGATTTGAGGTTTCACTCGTTGCCCAGGCTGGAGTGCAGTGGTGCAATCTTGGCTCACTGCAACTTCCATCTCCCGGGTTCAAGCAATTCTCCTGCCTCGGCCTCCCGAGTAGCTAGGATTACAGGTATGTACCATCACGCCTGACTAATTTTTGTATTTTTAGTAGAGACAGGGTTTCGCCACGTTGGCTAGGCTGGTCTCGAACTCCCGACCTCAGGTGATCTGCCCGTCTTGGCCTCCAAAAGTGTTGGGATTACAGGCGTGAGCCACCTCGTCCAGCCCTAAACTCCTTTCAAGGCATCCTCTGACCTCAGCCTTTTGAGTAGCTGGAACTACAGGCATGCAGCACCAGGCCCGGCTCTAGAAACTCCTATTTCTTTTCTTTTCCTTGAGCTAAGGAAAATACTGTCTGTCTGGATACCCCTTGTCCCACCAAGGGGGCCAAAGCTGCCAATGGCAGAACGCTGCCCCAGCAGCAGGATTTTCTGTCTAGGCACCTTCGCCTACACAACCAAACAGCACCAGACAGCAACACACCAGGGGAACTGCTGGGAGCACTGCTCAGCCACCACCAAAATGGCCCACAGCCCACGTCAGGGGCAAACAGAACAACTAAGCAAAGTCCAGGAACTTCCAAGGCCGACTGGGCAACCCGAGGCAACTGGAATAAGGCTTGGGAATGGAAGGCAAGGGTTCAGTGACAAATAGAAACCCCAGCTGGGCGCGGTGGCTCACGCCTGTAATCCCAGCACTTTGGGAGGTTGAGGCAGGTGGATCACCTGAGGTCAGGAGTTCAAGACCAGCCTGGCTAACATGGTGAAACCCCATCTCAACTAAAAATATAAAAATTAGCTGGGCGTGGCGGCAGGCGCTTGTAGCCCTAGCTACTTGGGAGGCTGAAGTGGGATAATCCCCTGAGCCTGAGAGGGGGAGACTGCAGTGAGCAGAGATCGTGCCACTGCACTCCAGCCTGGGCAACACAGTGAGACTCTGTCTCAAAAAAAAAAAAAAAAATCATGGGTGCAGTGGTTCACACCTGTAATCCCAGCACTTTGGGAGGCTGAGATGGGTGGATCATCTGAGGTCAGGAGTTCAAGACCAGCCTGGCCAACATGGTGAAACCCTGTCTCTACTAAAAATACAAAAATTAGCTGGGCGTGGTGGCACGTGCCTGTAATTCCAGCTACTCGGGAGGGTGAGGCAGGAGAATTGCTTGAACCCAAGAGTCAGAGGTTGTAGTGAGCTGAGATCGCGCCACTGAACTCCAGCCTCGGCGACGGGACAAGACTCCATCTCAAAAAAAAATAATAATAATTCAAAATAAACAGCCATATCTGTGCTTTGGGTTTCCCCCTGGCTGCCGTCCACCCCACTGGTCCATCTGTGGTCCTGGCTGTGGGAGAGAAATGCTGGTCCCCAGAGGCATCTCCCAGAATCCTTATCCCTCTCCTGTGACAGCTGGGGAGGGGCTCAGTGCAGGGAAGAGACCCATCTGGGACCCAGGCCCGGCGAATGGTGGTACAGATCACATACACCCACTCGGGTAGGCTAGGCAGAGCGGGGCTTACTGGGCAGCTGGCTGGGGTGCCCAGGAGGCCAGAGCAGCGGAGGGGTGGCCCTGCAGTGGGGAGGCTGTGACACTTACCTGCAGGCGTACTCCACGGTGTAGATGGCTCCCTGGCTCTGCTCCTCCCAACGCTGCATATCTGCCTGTAGGGGGCGCACGAGATGTTTGGCAAGGGAGGCCACCCCCACTTAGAGGGCCCTCCTCCCAGCTCTCTTGGTTGGGGCTTCCCCTGAGTCCTCATGGTGGATGCAGAGCCTTTTCCTCCTGCAGCTCCCTTCTGTCACGGGTCTGGGCTTTCTGTGGACACCTGGCCACCATGCCTCAGGACCTTTACACAAACATTTCCCCCTGCCTGGCACATCCTTCCCTTAGATAGTCAGACAGCTGCCTCCTCACCATGTGGGTCATAACTATTACAGAATGGTATGGTTTGGCTGTGTCCCCTCCCAAATCTCACCTTGTAGTTCCCATAATCCCCACGTGTTGTGGGAGGGACCAGGTAGAGAAAACTGAATCACTGAGTCGGTTCCCCATCCTGTTCTCCTGATAGTGAGTTCTCACAAGATCTTGTGGTTTTAATAAGAAGCCTCCCCCTTTGCTGGGCTCTCATACTTCTCCTTCCTGCTGCCATGTAAGGAAGCACACGTTTGCTTCTGCTTTTGCCAAATTCTAAGTTTCCTGAGGCCTCCCCAGCCCCGTGGAACTGTGAGTCAATTAAACCTCCTTCCTATATAAATTACCCAGCGAAGAATAAACTCATACACACATCTTGCCACCTCCTTCAAAATCTACCCCAGATCTGTCCGCCACGCCTCTGGCCTGGCTATGACACCACATGCCTCCTTGCTGGTGTCCCGGCCTTGGCTCCTGCCCTGACAGCCCCTGCTCCTTCCGACAGGCCCCAGCTCACCTTGTGCTGGGCCAGCTCGGGGAGGGAGCGGCGCACGTGCTCCTGCAGCCGGTACAGGGCCACGGACGGCTCGTTGGCCAGGACGTAGACGCTTTCAGTGAACTTGTCCGTGACTGGATCCAGGGTCCATAGGTGGCAGGGGTGGGGTGGGCGTAGGGGGACAAAGTGTCAGTCTCCTAGTTGCTTCAGTGCTGAGCCCAGCCAGAGCAGACGGGGCATCTGGTGTGTCCCTCAGCAGCTAGGTCAACCCTGGCCCGTGACAGGCTGGAGGAAATGGTCTCAGCAGGGCTCACTCAAAATGACATTAATTAGGCCAGGCACGGTGGCTCACACCTATAATCCTAACACTTTGGGAGGCCAAGGTGGGCAGATCACTTGAGGTCAGGAGTTCAAGACCAGCCAGGCCGACATGTAAAACCCCGTCTCTAGTAAAAATACAAAAATTAGGCCAGACATGGTGGTTCATGCCTGCAATCCCAGCACTTTGGAAGGCTGAGGCGGGCAGATCTCCTGAGGTCAGGAGATTGAGACTAGCCTGACCAACATGGAGGATCCTCGTCTCTATTAAAACATACAAAATTAGCTGAGCGTGGTGGCGCCTGTAGTCCCAGCTACTCGGGAGTCTGAGACAGGAGAATCGCTTGAACCTAGGAGGCAGAGGTTGTGGTGAGCCAAGACTGCACCATTGCACTCCAGTCTGGGCAACAAGAGCAAAATTCCGTCTCAAAAAAAAAAAAAAAAAAAAAATGCTGGGCACAGTGGCTGACGCCTGTAATCCCAGCACTTTGGGAGGCTGAGGTGGGTAGATCACCTGAGATCAGGAGTTCAAGACCAGCCTGACCAACATGGTGAAACCCCATCTCTACTAAAAAAAATACAAAAATTAACTGGCCATGGTGGCAAGTGCCAGGAATCCCAGCTACTCAGGAGGCTGAGGCAGGAGAATTGCTTGAACCTGGGAGTTAGAGGTTGCAGTGAGCTGAGATCGTGCCATTGCACTCCAGCGTGGGCGACAGAGCAAGACTCCATCTCAAAAAACAAACAAACAAACAAACAAAAATTAGCCAGGCATTATGGCAGGCACCTGTAGTCCCAGCTACTCTGGAGGCTGAGGCAGGAGAATTGCTTGAACCCAGGAGGTAGAGATTGCAGTGAGCCGAGATCGTGCCACTGCACTCCAGCCTGGACAATAAGAGCGAGATTCCATCTCAAAAAATAAAAAGAGGACATTAATGAGAGGACAAAATGAGTGATGAGTTCATCAGGAGTGAACTTTTTTTTTTAAGAGTCTCGCTCTGTTGCTCAGTCTGGAGTGCAGTGGCGCGATCACGGCTCACTGCAGCCTCAAGCCATCGTCCCATCTCAGCCTCCTGAGGAGCTGGAACTACAGGTGCGAACCATCATGCCTGGCTAGTTTTCTTCATTATTTAACAGAGACAGGGCCTTGCTATGTTGCCCAGGCTGGTCCTGAACTCTTAGCCTCAAGTGATCCTCCTGCCTCGGCCTCCCAAAGTGCTGGGATTATAGGCATGAGCCACTGTGCCCGGCCCCCAGTGAACTCCTCTCATCTTTCCCTCCCAATCCTGCTGGTAGTGGACCCTACTGCCCACTGCACTGCCCAGCATTCCTTTTGCCCCCGTGACCTCACCCGGGACTCTTCTTCAGAGCATGCCCACAGGAGCTGAAAGCGCCTGGAAGTTCACGTCCCGGGAGGCCCTGAGCCGCCACTCACTAGTGAGGGATCTGAAAACCTGTGTCCCTCGCTGGACACTGAACAACCCAGAGGCCTAACTTATCCCCCTGGGCTCCCCTGCAGGCCCAGCCTGAGGCCTCCATCTGCAGATTTTACCTGAGGTCGCCCCTCACTCAGCCTCCTTGCCAGCCAGCCCAGCCCTGTTTCCCCTTCTCCCCTGCAGGTGTCTCCTGATGAATTTTTATTTTTATTTTTTTGAGACAGAGTCTTGCTCTGTTGCCCAGGCTGGAGTGCAGAGGCAAAATCTCGGCTCACGGCAACCTCCACCTCCCGGGTTCAAGTGATTCTCCTGCCTCAGCCTCCCGAGTAGCTGGGATTACAGGCACCCACCACCATGCCTAATTTTTGTATTTTTAGTTGAGACAGCGTTTCTCCATGTTGGCCAGGCTGGTTGTGAACTCCTGATGTCAAGTGATCTGCCCACCTTGGCCTCCCAAAGTGCTGGGATTACAGGTGTGAGCCACCGCGCCCAGTCCTGATAAATTAATTGCACATAAATCCTCATGACAGTGTCTGCTTCGACAACGGTATTCTCAGCCAGCCAGCAGGGCCCGCCTTTCTTGTCCCACACTGCCCTCACTGGTCCAGGCACAGCCAGGCAAGGCCATCTCCTGCCTGGACGGGACCCACCTTCTCCCTGGCCTCCCTGCTTCCCTCCTGCCAATAGTTCAGTCTCCATGCAGCAGATGAGGCGAACTCCAAATAAACAAATCATCTATGCCCTCCCTTGCTTTAAACTCTCCCATGGCTCCCACCTGCCAGAGAATAAAATCCCCTTTTCTTGCCATGGCCCATGAGGTCCTGCATGTCCCAGCTGCTGTTGACCTCCCTGCCTTCCTTGCCTCCAGCCTGGCGCTTCCTTGCACTTCCCAAAAGAACTTTCTCAGGCCGGGCGCGGTGGCTCAAGCCTGTAATCCCAGCACTGTGGGAGGCCGAGGCGGGTGGATCACGGGGTCAAGAGATCGAGACCATCCTGGTCAACATGGTGAAACCCCGTCTCTACTAAAAATACAAAAAATTAGCTGGGCATGGTGGCACATGCCTGTAATCCCAGCTACT